CTTAAGAATTGGTAACATTAGAAATTTCCAGCAGGGAATGAGAAAATGGTGTCGCAGGTTTCCATGATCCATCAGGAAAAGGACTATTATAACAATATGATAATAAACTGAGAAAATGAAGTTCTGCTTGCCTTCAAGGGACAGTGCACGCACACACAGAGCTTTAAAAATGGCAGGTCTTCACAAATATTCTTTCCCTTCAAGGATTTGTCATCTTAAGTTCAGCCTTGCAAAATGTAGTCTTTGATTTGCCCATGGAACATAGTCTGAAAAATGCTGACAAACATAAAGAAAGACCACCTCTTACAGATTTTTAAAAATAATGCTTTCAGTAATCTTTCAGGCACTATGTGTGTTTTCTTCTCATAGACTTATAGAATCATAGCGTTGGAAGAGACCGCCTCTATGGATTCTATTTTTCATACACTTATTTCAAAAGAAAGTTCCTAGAACTCATATGAAGTTAGTGTAGCATAAAAGAGGGTGAGGATTGGTTAAATCTTTTAAAATCCCGTGATCCGGCCTAGAACAGCTGGGGAATGGACAGGCCTAGAACTGAGAGCAGCTGGTAAATAGGCTCTTGATGCTGCATTGTTCCCTAGCTATAATATTATTTAAACTAAATAGAACATATGGATGGAAATGATTTTTGTGGATATTTCAATAACAGACCCCCTCCCCAAATCCTGATGAAGTGAATCCTGTGTGATAAGATTTATTTTGTGCAATCAAATATGTAAGGTTTCTTTTGCACAGAAAACAGGAAGCAAGCTTCCTGTGCAGAAAACAATTTTCAGCACAGAAAATGCCGTTTTTCATGCTGTTATTGTTGTTTGCTCAGGAAATATCCCAAAGTGTGATCAGTCTAAAAACGATGCAGCTTTCATGGACATTCTAGCAGCAGGGAGTTAACTGAGTAAAGTATTCATTATGTGACAGAATAAAGCTATTGAAGATTTCCATCCCTAGTAGAAAGCAGTGCCTGCCAGGATGCATATGCACTGTCATTTGTCACTGCATGGCTGTATTGCAAGAGTGGGAAAATGCTGGCCCTCCAGGGGGTTTGGATTACATTTCCCATCATCTCTTACCAGTAGCCATGCTGGGGCCAGGGAGACTGTAGGCCAAAACCTCTGGATAGACAAAGGTTACCAATCCAGATGTATCAGGTACTACAGAACGTACAAAGCCAGTTTGTAGGGCAGAGCTTTGGGATGCTTGTCTGAGTCTCTCTGTGACTTGCATCTGATTTGCTATGCTCAATTTGAATAGATAATTGGAGTTTCTTTGACCCAGATTGCATGTTGTCAAAATGTCACATATTGTACAGCTTGTGTGTCACCCAATTAAAGAATAGTTAGTTAATCAAGATGGATTTGCATTATCAAAGCCTAAGTGTGGCTACATTTGCACATGATGGAAATGTGGTTTCTTTTTAAAGAACAGGTTTTGTTTTTAGATTGTACATGTATCTGCCTCAAAAGCTGTCTTAGAAAAAATCCTCTTCTTCTAAAATGGCTCTCATTTTCCCATTATCTTTGTATTAAAAATGAAAAAATGAAAAATAATGTTCTTGTTATTAGCTGACAAAATTTTGGTTAACCAGTGAATTATTAATGGATTAATTTACCCAGTGAATCAAGTAAATGTTGCAGTTTAAGCAAAAATATCCTTTTTGTGTAATTAGATATGCTAGATTTAGAAATGGGCTGTATTCTGGCAATAAAAAAGTAATCTGCAAAATAAATTTCCAGGCTGACATCTTTATTGACTCCACCTTTACAAAACCAGTTTCAGGAACAAGATCCAACTTCATTGCTATCCAATGTCTACTTGTAAATTTGTTACATGACACCAGTGTACCTTGTGTGAAGGCAACGTAACTCAAGTGTAAGCAACATAAAGTAGTATTTTAAAGGGCATTTCCCCCCTTTATGAACAAATCTATAACTGCCATGGCTTGTAAATCTGACTTCAGTATTCAATATTATGAAAAGTAAAATGGAATCCAGTGTTGTATACCTCAATTATGTTCCAAATTCAAAAGCATAACTGTGTTAGCCTGGAATATCAGCATGCAAATAGATTTTATAGCACCTTAGAGACTGAGTATGAAGTTAGTAGCATAATTTTTCAAGGTCTAAATCTACTTACTCAAATGTTCCTAATGTGTTTTTCATTTTATTCACACACACACACAGTATTTTTTGGGGGAAGGCAATTAGAACCCATCTCTCCCCATGGATCTTTCTGTGATGCACTTTCCATTGTTCACCACAATGCAGCGTGTAACCCCCCCAAATCCAGACTGCCATCTGTCAAAAATATGAAACACACAAAAGTGAACAAATCAGGAGAACTGATATATGTAGACTCACCTCAAAAATGCTGGCAGACATTTTTTTAAATAAAGAACCCAACAAGGTCTTGTTTTCACCTGGTGCATCCATCTTTATAATTCAACCTCTCTGGAATTTTGCTTGAAACCTGGATGAGGGCTAACAAACTGAAGCTTAATCCTGACAAGACAGAGGTCCTCCAGGTCAGTCGCTTGGATGATCAGGGTATAGGGTGGCAACCTGTGCTCGATGGGATTACACTCCCCGAGGACACAGGTTTGCAGTCTGGGGGTCCTTCTGGACTCTGCTGACACTTGATGTTCAGGTGTCAGTGGTGGGCCGTTGCACAGTTAAAGCTTGTGCACCAGCTGCAACCGTACTTTGAGAAGTCTGACTTGACTGTAGTGGTTGATGCCTTAGTTACCTCCAGGTTGGATTACTGTGGGGCTGGCTGCCCTTGAAGACAGCTCAGAAACTGCAGTTAGTGCAAAGGTCAGCGGCCAGGTTGTTAACCGGAGCGAATTACAGGGAGTGATCAACCGTCCTGTTCAAACAGCTCCACTGGCTAACAATAAGTTTCCGGTCTGAATTCAAGGTGCAGGTTATCACCTATAAAGCCCTACCCATCGGGACCTACCTATCTTTGCGATTACATTTTCCCCTATGAACCTGTGTGATTTCTAAGATCCTCTGGGGAGGCTCTCCTCTTGCTCCCACCTCGGTCACAAATGTGGTTGGTGGGGAGGAGGGAGAGGGCCTTCTCAGTGGTGCCCCCCGGCTCTGGAATTCTCTCCCCAAGCAGATTAGACTGGCACCCATCTTATCCATCTTTTGCAAAGGTCTAAAAAAAATTGGCTCCCAGTTATGACTCAATTTGCAGTCCCTGCATTTTACTACTGCCCACCTTATACTGCGCCTCCATCTTAGATTTTTGGTCAATCCATGAAATACAGACAAATGTGCCTAAAAATATACCAAGATCTTGATGCAAAATGATATCTGTATTTCAACCATGCATATTGGTGCTAAGGAAATCACAGAAGCAATTGGTCTGCAAGCTGGCAAAAAAGCTTTTCACTGCTTATGCCTGACATTTGCAGTTATGGATTTTAGACATCCTTAGGGACATCACTGAAACCAAGGACTATCTGATGTGCGGGACAACCAATTCTAGCTCTGATGTGCCAAGGTTTGGTATATCTTTCTGCCCACGGGCAGCAGTGGACTTTTTCATTCTTGGAAATTAACCAGGAACTGGCAGCTGTGGTCTGAAGACTAGAACTGACCCACAGACACCAGAGGTAGAACTAATTTAAACAATTTGACCTCCAGTGAGTAAAAGTAATAATCCAACAAATGCGATTGGTTCCAAGGAGTTCCATATTTGGACAATTGGTTAACAAGACACATTCTAACCAGCTGAAACTGTTCAGAAATGCCAACACCTTGTCAGGCTAAGGAAGCCTTCTAATGAAGCAATCACCCCAGCTTCCTGTGGATGTGGATGTACCATAAAATAAATGAACCATAAAAATAAAGAGAAATGGGTCAGTTGATTTGACTGAAAAACAGTCTGAAAATATGTGTTAAATATGTCAGATTTAAAGCATGCTTAAAATGTCAGAATAACTAATCAAAGGCTGTAGATGTTCTATTTTTACCATTTATATCTTCCAGTGATTTTTGTTCAATAGTTGGAATGTTAATATACAGTCTTACTGTTCTTGGGAGAATCTTACTCTAGTTGACAAATAAGTAATGTTTTCCCTTCAATATTGCAAGCTGATCAAGCAGTCTAAAAGACCAGCATTGTTAGCCACTGTATAGAAATGTAAATGGGAGGAGGGACAAGAGAACTCACAGTCTAAATCGCCCTGTACAGTTCCTCTCATTGGCAAAATCCACACACACATATTACTAAATGGATGCATGCTACCAGAGGCTTCCAGAAGGCCTCGGTCCAAAACTGCAGTAGAAATTGGCCTATAGAATGAATGGGCCAGTTATCAGCTGCAAGACCAGCTGACAGCTAGGAACAATTAAGAGCATTTGTCAATCTTTGCTGCACTGGCCGTGGAAGATATCCTTCTCAATGTGCCAGGCTCTAGCATTTGGCACCTGAGGACCCACATGGCTCTGAAACAAAAACGAGCCAACACTCACTGCTATCATGCACAATGGCGTATTATAGCCATACTGGCATGACTACAATGAAACAGCTAATCAATGTCAGTTAGCTGGAACAATTGTGTTAACATTCGCGCTAGCACTGCTGAAACAGGATGGTTAAGTCGAAGTGAACAGAGTGTCAGTTTGCAGTGTCATTTAAACCCCAGGGACAGCAGGATTTGTATTCATCGCGATTTAGTGATTTGGCTTGGCATGCAATAGCTGAAAGCTCAGGTTTACTAGAACCTGCACTTTCAATATGAATTGCAAATATTTTTATTCGCCTTGGAATACTAAAGCCATCCTGACCACACACGCACACCCCAAAACTGTAATTTTTTTTAAATTTTGCTCACCCAAAATCATCTGGCATTTGAAGGTTAATTGAAGTCCGGATAAATAAAGCAGTATAGTGAGACACCTATCTGGCTCCTTGTTTTGTCTTTGAACAAGAAATGGAAAAGCAAATGACACAATGAGACCAAACAGGGCTTTCATTAAATAAATTTATTTGTTAAAATAATTTAACTCCAAATACAACTGCTGAGTTTGCATTGAGTTCTCTATGTACAATTTGACTTTTGAAACCTCTTGATTGAAACAACTGACACCTTATAAAACGTACTCCATTTCCCCAGCTATCAGTTGTAACAGAGCTCAATCATCAACCGTTAGATATCTTTATTCCACTCTAGGAAATCCCAAACCATCAATTATTTCACCTAGTTTCCAAAAACACACTGCAATCCCTTCTTGAAACCCTGATCAAGAACTGACAGAGGAATCATGCACCTTTAAATCCCTGCAGTTGTCAATTTTTCTTTGTCACGGAGTTTTGCAATTACAGTCCAATCAGTGATTCAGCTGCAGACTGGTGAAAAACCATGAATCCCCTCACCCTAAATGGACAACATCTTTAGGCAGCATGTGTCATGTTGAAAAATAAATACTGGTAAGTTTGCCCACAGAAACTAATGCTACTTTAGAACAGAAGTGGAATTAAAGTGGAAATGTTGGTCCTACCAGGGCAAACCCAAGAAAGTCCTCAAAAGCTGTAATCAATAAGTTGAAAGCTGTGGACTGGGTGGGAAGAGTGGAGAGAAGCTTTTCTTTTAACAACTTTTGGAACAGATGCTGGTTTGATCTAATTTTCAAAGCGGGAAAACCTATTTTTAAAAGAAGTTGTACCTTTCTATAACAGTATCAACTAAACATGCCAGCGGCATAAAAATACAAAGCTCTACAAGTATAGCTAAAGAACAGTGGGTCTTTGGATCAAATGATAATATTTTAAGGCATGTTACACCCAAAAGAATGGATTATCACTGGAATCTGATCAAGATACAAAAATAAGCAGTCATCCTTGACAAGCAACTTCCAAGATTTTCCAATGTGCCACACTGTGATATCTATAAATGGAGGAATGTTGCAATGGCATTTTGATGGACTATCACAGGGTTTATATCTGAAAAGTGCCATACATCCAGTGGCATCCAACCAGGGCTGTCAAGTGGCTCAGTTGGGGACGAAAAGGCTGACCACCGTGGTGCCTGGTTTCTTTAAATCTGTGTCAACCAATGAGAAATAATATAAAAAGACAGATGTGCCAGATCAATGGTTCGAAGGGCAAGAGGCCAATCAGCACCACAAGAAAAGAAGGAGGAATCGATAAAGCGCTGGCACTGCTTGGATTGGCACTAGACGACTGGTGACAGTAGACACCCGTTTTATCGGTGATTTACTCCACTGGCCTGAACACATAACATGAGGAAAAGCACTCATGTAAATGTGATTATCTATAGCCTTTAATACCCCTCCTGCTGATTAAAAATATTTTAATTAAATATATTCCTAAGTGTCCCACTATAGCCATGTAAGCAGGATCCAAGAAGCACACAACCTGGCTCCTGAAAATACAATGGTTACCCTTTTTTTTTTGAGAACACACAATGCTTCGTCTCTAAAACAGCAATAAAGTGTTATTGTGGGAGTACTCTGAAACCACCATGTTATGTGAGAACTTCTATATGAAAATAATGCCCATTTTTACCAGAACTCCCATGTGTGCCTGTCATTCATTTTACTCATGTCACTATCATGACTACATTAACAATCTGACATGCAAAACAGAAAACTCATCAAATTGGTAAAATATGCAATCAAAATTAAGGTTCTATTTCATTCTTACTTGAGCGGTGAAGCTGATTATTTTCTCAACAGACAAATTAACAGCTGTATAACATTCCTCAGATATTTCAGGGAATGTGAACTGATGATAGTTTCCCCATTCCCAAACACATGCAAGTTCTTAATATGAGATGTACGAAAGATGCCACAACTTTCAAGACTGTGCAAGCTGCTTGAGGGAAGAGTTGCATTTCTAGAGCAGGACCTCATGTTTAAGCATTACACTCTCTGCTTTCTTGATTATGAAAAGAAATCATGCAAGGACTAAGGCAATAGTGGCCTATGATCATCCATAATTATTATTAAATCACTAGAAAGTAAACTAAATGACAAGTACTCTGCGGTGTAAGAAATAAAGTGGCAAAGTGTTGTCACATGTTTTTGAATTCAGTTTCTTCAGTCACACTTTAGATTGCAGGTTGTTTTTCTGCTGATAGAGGCAAACATCTCAGAACTCAAGTTCATTACAGCATTTGTAAAAAGTTCCACACCCACCCACCAACACATACACACACGCACACACAAACACGCAAGACACATACACTCATCTCCAGTCATCTACACAACAGACTACACAGCTACTTCACAAGACTGAGAAACCAAATGGTGGGGTGGCATTTGGACCACAGGCTCAGTGATGATATTGCATTTAAAAGGCCAAATTTAATCCACAATTAAAGTCCAGCTCAACATGATCACTCCAGCATTTCAACCTTAGACATTCTGATTGGAAACTTCCTGATTGTAAGACATCAGAATAGATACAGGAGGTGCTGTTAAGTCATGCAAAGTATAATGTATTTCACTGCTATGAAAATTAAGATCAGAGGCTGAGCACCATTTCAAAACAATGTTTTCACTCACTACGTGTCACAGCAATAACCAGGGCAACAGGATCACTGTATGGCGGCAGCACCTGACTAGCAAATTAGGCAACTGAAGACAAGAACTCCTTTCTTGCTCACATACAGAATTACAATATTGTGTATTTAACTTCTGAGCCAAAGTAACTTCACACAGTTATTTCAATTAACGAAATTGCCAACATTAAAGCTATAAAATGGCAAATCTGAATTCCATAGGTTAGTTGGGAATATCACATCAAAGACATAGCCCTTAAAGGCAAGAAAGAAACTGGTATCCTTAAACTGAAGAATGCTGGATGCTCACAGTCCCCACGAGGTTTCTGCAAGAAGGAACATCTGGATACAACATGGCTTCATTTTCCTTACAAGGTGGTACTTGTTAATGTGCTAAAACTTTCCTTGTTAGTAAGGCTAAGCATTTTTACCCTCATTACAGTCACTTCTTCCTGGTTCAGTAAAGAGATGAACACATTGCCTGCTATGTAAACAGAGGGTTTGTTTGTTTTCTTGACTGAACAGCATCCGAAGTAATCCACTATTTCTGAGCAGCAAAGCAGAATATTTTAACACATTCCAATGTCCTCCTGTTCACTTCACAAACCGTTGGTTCTTTTCAGAGCTCCTCGCTTTACTTTCAAGTAATGATAGAATATTTTCCTTTGCGCATGATTGGATCATAGAAAAAAAATCAAATTTGGGATAAGGGGGAAACAGAATCACATCACTTGGCCAATAATCCTGCTAACATTTGTGTTGAAGATGGGAATATTTGACTGAGCGAACTTGGCCACAAGCGACAAGTCCTGAAAATCCAAATGCATACTCACACATTTTGTTAACCTTTACTTATCAGTAAAGAATACGCAGAGTGCAAAGGGTCTTTGCTGGTGCTCTCCTTTCCACCATCACCAACTCTTAGCTTAGAGCTGTAGCGGTTGTCTGACAAAGCCAACACACATTGTTTGTGCTCACCCTGTAAAACTGTTGGCTGTACCACAGAGTTGCAGGCGTAGGAGATGTGCTGCAGGTAAGTGAACTTTAGAAGCTTATTCCCAATTCTTCTGCTACACTGATCAACTTCAACGTCCCATTTAGAGTTAATGCTGAAACTCCACTCTGGACTTATCCCACAAGACCCAACTTTAAGTCACGAAGTGAAGTAGCCAGTTGTATAACCTTACCAAAAACACAGCGAAATGGGTCCAATTCCATCATTTGGAATGCTATTGTATATTACATGCAGAACAGCATGGGTCATCTTTATCTGGCTGAGAGGCATAGTTCATCTGTCTGACAATCTCTGCAAAGAGCTCATCCACCATTGTTTTACTTTTAGCAGAAGTCTCCATAAAAGGACAACCCCATTCTTCAGCCAGGGCTCTTCCTTCACTCGATGAAACTTCTCTCTCGCTTTCCAGGTCCACTTTATTTCCAACCAAGATTACAGGCACCTTTTCATACCTGCAATAAGATGCATAACACAAAGTTGAAATCCTTTGCAAGCTTTTGGGGAAAAATAAACCCTAGAAAAGCAAGATAAAGCCTGAAATAAATAAACTACATACCAAAATGGGAAAACATTATTCTTATATATTTAATAATGCCAAAGCTCTCAAAAGACTACATCAACAGGAAACAGGCCTATCCCATATTTCTACAAATTTAGTGAAAAGTAGATTTTTTTATTTATTTAAAGCATTTATATTTCGCCCTTCTCACCCCGAAGGGGACTTAGGGCGGAGCACAACATATAAATGGCAAACATTCAATGCCGAAACATGCCAGACCATACACATACAAAAACATTGTATCTTGATGTTAAAATGGAACTCTGTGTGCTTATAAAATATACACAAATGGACTTTGTGGCTATCATTGGGAAATGAAGGCAATCTGCCTTCCCAATCATATGTGTGCAACTGTTTACTCAGAGAGCTCCGTCCTCATCTTATTCTGAATCCACCAAGGTTGGGCTGAAGAAAGTATACTCAGTTCTGCTTGTTCCTTCACACTGGAAATAAAACTACCATTACCCTAAAATTAATTTAACATCCATTCCACTATATACACCCATTTAAATGAAAAAGCTCCCCTCCCCCTACCTGACTGCATACTAGCAGCCACAACTTTTAGAGCACACGAGAAAAGGCAATATATGTTCTGAGTTCCTCTCCACAACATGGGAATGTAAAATAGTGATGGGGAATAGGGCTAGCCAGTAGACTGTAAAGTCCCATTTAACACACATATCCACATTCTTTGGATGTGTTGGAAATTTGGAAAATGAGCACATAAACATTGCCTCCACTTTCATAAAATTTCCCCAAAGCACAGGTGGAACAGCACACATTGTCCTTTAATGCATTGAGTCGCCGATTTAGGCTGAAAAATGCGGTATAAAAATAAAGCAAATAAATAAAATAAATAAATAAATGCTCCCCCCCCCCCAATAGGATTATGATTTCTTGGGGGTTAATGCAAAAAAAAAACATTTTGAAACAACATGAAATAGTTCTAGACTCTACAGAAACTGATAACTTTTAAATTGAGAATTTTCTTTCTTTTCATTAAATAAAACAGCAAGCAAAACTCAAACCATTAGTTTTTACACTCTAAAGACCTTCAGTCATTTAAAATGAAATCAGAATAGTAAAAAAAAATCTTGCAATAAAGGCTCAATTACAACAAGTCATAACCTGTATCTAAAACAACAGATCTACAACCAAGAACTCTTAACCAAGTCTTACCCAAAATACTTGTCCAGGCATATTAAGTCCTGCTGAAAAAGCAGGGTATGCATTCAAATCTGTCAGCTAACCTCCTGTGCATGCATGTCCTTCTTGCAGCTTTCTGCCTAAATACGGTAGACACTGGCATGTCAAACAAGCAGGCAACTTACAAAACTGACTCATCCCAATGAGTGTAAGGAACAATGAAGGTCAACGATAGGAAATTTAGTTACAAACCCTTTAGAATTCAATTCTACCACAATGAACAGCTTCAGTGTTTCACCAGAAAAATACAGCTTTTTTGCAAGATTCCAAAGACTTATCACAGCAAACAGGATTGATGATAAGTACTGTATATGTTTCAAGGCCTGCTGGAAAACTTTCTGCTGGAAAACTTTCAAAAGAGGAAGGCTGTGACAGTCAATCTGCCAGAAAAGTATGGCTTCCAGGAAGAGAGGCCATCACTAGCTCACATGCTACAGAAAACCCCACAAGTTGATTGAACACCACTGGTCTCTGCATGTCATGCATCCCTTCCTCCCCTGGGTTCCCAAATCAAGACATGTTGCGCAGAAATGTACCAAGTGCATGGTGTTCCTGAAACATTTTAAAAAGCACACACTTTGGAGAGATTTTACATCTGCAGTCAATTCATGATTCATGCTTGACTAAATATTTTTATTCAATGCTGCAATGCAGAAGTTAACAGCACTAGGACAAAGAGATGCCCTGGCATGTTCTTCTAGCAAAGCAATGTTATGCTATGGTTATATATTTATACTACAAATGTTGGTATACACAAGAAGAGTGTAATTTCTGAAACTAATAAAACCAGACAAGCCTCATGATCAGTATCTAAGCTTTGCATGCTGACACTCGCTAGGGATCTACAGTGGGGGGGGGGGGGGGGGGGGGGGGGGGGGGGGAATTGTCTCTTTTTAAAGAGGTCTGCTAATCTTGAAGTGCAGCTGCATAGGTTTTAGCTTCATTTACACATTACACTCCAACTTAAAGTACTTATTGCTTTTTCACAGCTAGCAATCAAACTGCTTTGGGACATAATCCCTTCCTTTATTTCACAATAGAGGCATCCAAAAACTGACTTAACTGGAAATTATGACTATCATACAAAAAAAGTCCCCATTATGATACCAATTTCTTCAATACATGGAACAACACTTTATTTCTATCCCGACCACTCTCCCCATGGAAGATTCAAACATTCAGTGCCTTAAAGTGCAATCAAAAACCAAAATAACCAAAGCAACCATAGATCAATAAACATATTATCATCCACATCAAGTAATAACTTCTTAAAAACCTCCCCCCCCCCCAAATAAGAAAGGGACTTGGTTTTTGTTTTGTTTTTAACTTGGAATGGCTTGTGGGTACCAGAGGCAGAGAATTGGGACTTGTGCTACCTGAGGCAGTCTCTCTCCATTGTCTGAGAAGCAAACTTGAAAGGCTCCAAAGGAAGATTTAATGACTGGCCAATCTTTTAAAAGCATGGGATAAAAAGTAGTCCCTCTGTTTTGTTTTGTTTAAAAATTAGGTTTCCAGAACAACAAGCAGAGGTCAGACCCAAGACCCAACTGGCTTTTGGGTTACCAGCCAACATATTTTAAAGAGCAGAAATCTTTATATAGCATAGCACTACTTGTATATGCCACAATGAACTGTGGGCTCACACTTTCATCCAAAAGCTTTGCTTAAACTGGAATGGGGAAAGTGCAGCCTCAGGAGAACATGCAGCCCCCGAGATTGTTTTTGTGGCACCTGGCCACTCCAGTCACCTTGAACGGCCCTTCTTATGACCAAAAAGAGGCTGAATTGGCTTCTGGGAAGCTACATGAATGGCAATACATCTTTCAAATAGATTACAGAGACCTTCCACTGTACAATATCTGCACCTTTAGAAAACTTTTTCTCAAATCAGAAATACCTGTCTGGCCATTTGCAATATTATGGAACTTTCTACAAGTCTAGGAAGTCTCCAGAGAATCGCAGGTAAAAACTGGGTCCCCAGACCTGCCACAGTTGCCTACCTCTGTTTTAAACAAACCAGTTTCATTATTCATTACTTGAAGGTTGGCTTAAGAAAACATATTATGTCTATTTATTCTACCAACGTTCTCATGGTGACACACACAAATTTCTTCCACTGTACTTTATCCTAACAACAATCAAGCTGAGGCAGAAATTGACTTCAGGTCACCTAGGAAATGTCAATGTGGATTTAAACATGGACCTCCCAAGTCTCAATCCTACATTCTAACCACTGGTTCAGTGTATTCTGTCAGTCTGAACAATATGGTAAGTCAATGTGAGAGGAGTTTTGGGGGGGGGGGGGATCTCTGTGAATGGTTGTCCAGGTCATATGTGCCTTCTAATTTCCAACAGTGTCTCATTTTTCCTCATTTTCATGTATTTATTTCCCTCTATATTTTAGATGCTTAAGCCATGTGCTGTGTAAAAGAACTGAAATGATCATGTTTAAACCACATCAACCATTGCCTATACAGGTCAAATCTACTTGTGAATGACAGTTAATCTTCAGTTAAGTGAGAACACGTAAAAATGCTGCTCAAGTATACAAAAGCTGAAGGCATAAGTCACCTTCCTTTTCACAAGTACTAAACTTAACATTCTGATAGCGGAAGAAATGTTGACTGATGGGCTTCTCAAAACAAACAAACCATTTTCATATATTATCTGCTATTAACCCCTCTGTTAAAGGGCCTCTCAGAGAAAGGATGAAATCATTTCCTTTATGAATTTAGAGATATACTGCTCGACTACTTCCTTGAACATTTGAGCCCATCTATTATGTGTTCCATCTTTTCTTTCATAACTTTTCTGACTTAAGGAAAAAAAATGGTGGAAAAAACACAGGAGGATTCCAAGTGAAGACACTGTAGCTTGGGCCTTGGATATGCCGCATTTCCATCAAGAGGCACTGCTACTGCACAGCAAAGTTACATCTGAAAGTACCTGTGCGTCATCTACACCACAAGCTGGATATGTGTGCATGTCCTTTTCACGTGCCTATCAACTTATGTTGACCCAATGAATTTTACAGTGCAAGGAATAACCAGTAGTTTTGTCAGTTCCCTCCTTTGAAATATAGTCTACAATGGTGCCTATTGACGGTCTCCCATCTAAGTACTAAGCCAGTGGTTCTCAACCTGTGTGTCCCCAGATGTTTTGGCCTTCAACTCCCAAAAATCCTAACATCTGGTAAACTGGCTGGGATTTGTGGGAGTTGTAGGCCAAAACACCTGGGGACCCACAGGCTGAGAACCACTGTACTAAGCCGACCCTGCTTAGCTTCCAATACCTGATACCTTTAGAGTATTTAGGCCACTAACCTGCATGGCAGGCATGGGGGGGGGGAAGGAGTTCAGAAGAAAATAGCTCAAGCAAAGGGAATGATATCATGAACTCATGGAAGAAGGGACCTGATGAGTGGTCCCTTCTTCCATGAATTCATGATGGAAGAAGGGACTTTTGGCTGGTAACCCAAAAGCCAGTTGGGTCTTGGGTCTGACCTCTGCTTGTTGTTCTGGAAACCTAATTTTTAAACAAAACAAAACAGAGGGACTACTTTTTATCCCATGCTTTTAAAAGATTGGCCAGTCATTAAATCTTCCTTTGGAGCCTTTCAAGTTTGCTTCTCAGACAATGGAGAGAGACTGCCTCAGGTAGCACAAGTCCCAATTCTCTGCCTCTGGT